ACCTACCTGAATACCCTGAATATCAACGCTTTCTCTAATGTGAATCAGGAGAGGTTCTAGTATAAAGGCAAACAGGATTGGGGAAAGAGGGCAACCCTGGCGTGTGCCATTATGTATTCCAAATGGGTTCTTATCTGTGCCAGGTAGTTGTATTATTTCTTGGGCGTTAGAGTATAAGGCTCGAATTATAGTGATAAGATCAGGAAAGCCCCAATGTTGTAACAAAACAGATAAGGCCAGGCGACCCTATCAAATGCTTTCTCTGCATCCAATGACAAGAGTATCAATGGTGTCTTCCCTGTTTCCATAACCCATGCGATATCTACAGCTCTACGCATATTCTCATAGAGCTGTCTACCACCAACAAAGCCTACTTGGGCTGGGTGAATCAAGATGGGGAGAAGAGGAGAAAGTCTTAAAGCCAGGACTTTAGCTATTATCTTTATGTCCACATTTATTAACGATATAGGTCTGTAATTTCCCACTGATGCAGGATATTTATCCTTTTTTGGTAAGAGAACAATTTTAGCCATCGTGAAATCAGCTGGAAGATATCAACTTTGGCATATTTCATCAATGACCTCCTGCAAATATGGCATAAAGGTTTGTTGGAATGTTTCATAGTAGCTACTGCCAAAACCATCCGGACCTGGTGCTTTACGCCTTTTAATGGAAAGACGGGCAGTTTTAATTTCCTCTATAGGTATTCTTGTCTTTTATGATTCTACAGCGCTTTTGGGGATTTGGGGTAGATTCATCCTACCTAAGAATTCTCTCAGTCTTATCTCCTGATCTGTATTCCCCTCCCCCGGAAGACTCCATATATCTCATCTGTTGACGATACTAGGGTTCTTGAGGCATTTTGAATTGCTGATATGGGGTTAGAGTGTATATGTGGTTTTAAACACTTGGCCAAAAAGGCGTCTGTCTTATTAGCTCGCTCATAGAAATATCTGCGTGTTATTTTTAACTGCCATGCAGCTTTATCTTATAAAAGAGTTTTAATTTTTAATCTATTTTCAGGTCGTGTAGTGTTTGTTTTGAAGGGGCTGTTTTATATTTTTGTTCCAGCTTACGTATAGATTTCTGTAACTCAAACAATGATTCTGCTTTTATCGTTTTCTTATATGAAGCTATTTTAATCAATTCTCCCCTAATTACGGTTTTATGTGCTTCCCATAAAGTGATTTTACTGATTTCAGGTGTGTTATTTTCTAAAAAATAATTTGAAAGTGCCTTTATAATATCTACTCTGAGGGGTCCTGTAAAAGAGAAGTATTTAGGCGCCATGAATAGGTAGGTGTGGCTGATAATCCTTTTATATATACACAGTGAAATCTGCATGGTCTGACCAGGTGTTATTATTGATTTGTGAGCTATATAGATAGGGGGGAAAGTGCTAAAGCTGTCAAAAACATATCTATTCTAGAGTACGTATCATCTGGATGAGAATAAAAAGTAAAATCCAATGTCTCTGGGTGTGAGCAGACGTAAACTAAAAGAACAATTTGTCCTGTCCTCCACTGAGACTGTACCATACCTGGCCTAGAACTCCTGTCTATTGCTGGGCATGAGCCTGCATTGTAATCCCCGCCTATCAAAAGACCGTCTGATGCTATAGAATGTATGATTTGACTTATAGTGTCCCAAAATCTATTATTTGGGGCATATAAATTCAGTAGCTGTAACATATGAGGGCCCATCATTCCAGATACTAAGATATATCTTCCTTCTTTATCCTGAATTGAGCTTAAGACTTTAAACTGCCATTGTTTATGGAACAAGATAGCCACTCCATTATGTTTAAGAATGGCATTCGAGCTAAATGCTCTATCATCCATTTTATCTGACAGAGATAATACATGGGATCTATTAAGGTGAGTTTCTTGCAAAAAAAAAAAAAACAAGCCTGCATTCTTTTTATTCTTTAAACATCAACTTTCTTTTTGCGGGTGAATTAAGGCCTTTTACATTCAGGGAGATTCACGATCTTGTCAACCATAATTCATCCAGTATCTAAGCTAAGGTTTTTGCACAATAAGTGCATAAATCTAACAGCCCTATAAAAATGGTACATACCATGACAAAAAGATATAGAGAAGGAGAGCAAGACAAAATAAAAGGTTTTATTACTTTTTAACAGGGCCAAGAGACTGGCCACCATGTGTTTTTAACACTGTATTGGCAGGAATACACATTTGTACTCCTAACACTATATTGTTCATCTAAGCCAGGGGTTCCCAATTAAATTTTTCCAGTGGATCCTTTTGACAAAGTATCAACATTGTGGAACCCCTCCACACCTCCCTTGGATGTAGTGTTGGATTTTAAATGGGGATGTACATTTGTGTGTAGTATTGGTGTTTGTATATAATTTTGGAGTTAGAGTTTAGAGGTGTCTTTTTATGGCGTGTTTGCAGGAGTGTGTTTTGTTGGTGTTTGATTGCTGGGATGTCTGTACATGTACTGCCATATACATACTTATACATGACCAAACAGACACACGAGCACATACAATCACCTTGACACATACACAACTTGCCACACAGATACTGACACATACATACTGTGTTTATCTGACACACGTAGGCAGATATACACACGTTTATTTTGCTGTTCACTTAACTTTTTTCTGCATGAGGGTCTTCAGTGCTGCAGGCTAAGCCTGGTGTGCTGGTTAATCTCCTCTGCACCCTGTCTGGGAGGAAGTGCTGTCACTTTCTCCCAGCATCCCATACAACAGGGTAATGCTTGGGGCAAATTGACGCAGAACAAGAATAGGGAAATGCTGCTTTAAGCTAATATTTTGGTGCTTAGTGTCCCTTTAAAGTTTAACGGTTTGTATCAGGAAAAAAAAATTAACAAGTCTCATAACTTTTAAGCAGATGTAATCTTAAGTATATTTTGTGTAAAAGTTATTTTAGGTATTACTAAACTCTTAAATGATAGCTGTGATATTTTCTGGGTTTATGATCAGAAAACTGTTCTTTTGTAGGTAAATGAAGTCAGTAAGAAAACTGTTAAGTTATCCAATGAGACAGAGGAGCAAGAAGTGGAAGTGTCCCGCTGGCGAACTGAACCGGTCCTTTTGCACACTGACCTCATCGGAGAGCAGTTTTGGGAAGAACACACAGCTATCCTGTCCTATAGATAAAATAGGACAGTTCTGTGGCTGAATATTTAATGCAAAAAGAGGAAGAGCTTCAATTTAAAATCACTTCAAACCAAAAGAAAGTACCTTTTAATAGTTGAACCTTTAGGGTCTTTTCTGGTTTGTTTGTACATGTTAAATTCTTAATCTTTAAATTATTATAAGAGTTTCAAAATAAAGTATTTAAATGTTTAACATTTGTTTACACAAACTTACCCATCTGATTTCTTAAATCATAGTGTACTCTAACTTTCATGAACTAATAGCAGTTTGGGAATACAAATGTTAAAACTATTGCTACTTTAGATGCAATCTGCAGTATGTGAAACCTTTTCAGAGAGCAATAATTTCAGAATCTGACTAGCAGCAAACTTTTAAGAATATGTCCACGAAGTTTAGAGCCAAACCTGGACAATTTGTCTAAAAGTTTTGGAACCATTGAAAGAAAATGCAAGTTCTGAGACTAGATAAACCTGTAATCATGGATCAGTGCATTCCTGAATATCCCTACTCAAGGATGATAAGCAAAGCAAGTCATATCCCTTCCTTTAAAAAGGACACCACTTTCTAAAGATCAAAGCCAGCTGGTAAATAATTAGGCACAAGCTAGCTCCTATGGAGGTACTAGGAGCAATGAAGGGACACCTAAATTGAACTAGCACTATAGGAATAAATGCATTGGTAGCACCTCTACTATTGACATAGTGGGTATTACTGCTTTCTCCTTTTCAGTTGATATTCAGGCATTTATTCCCCCCCCACTCACACACAATCGTTTGGGGATAGAGAGCAGAAGTGACCTCTACTGGTTGAGAACCAGAACTACAATCAGAGTAAAATAATTTCCTAGATCATGCTAAACAGTAATTCTGACTAACAAAAAAAAACAAGTTTTCTTGGCTCTCCTTTCTCCAAGAAAAAGTTACTTTAAAGTGAACCTCGCTGTGGAAAGTGCCATTAGTTCTGCATGTTCACATATCCCAGTGTACAGCGCTACGGAATTTGATGGCGCTATATAAATGTGTGTAAGGATCTCCTGACACAAAAAAAAAAAACCACGACTAGTTGAGGTAGGTTTATAGTACAGTATTAAATCCACCTGTTTTGAGCTATGAATGATGTAAGCTGAGGGCCAATTTATTCTCTCTCCCTCATCTAAAAAAAAAAAAAAAGTCAACATCTTATGTCCAGAGTAACACAGGGGGTGAAGTCCTGAAAACAAAGGTCTAATTTTGTCGCAATTTCATAACCCCAGATCCCCATAATATTGAAAGAAAACTGATCCCCTAATTACATAAGTTGTGATAGTGCCACTTTTAATAAATCATATGGAATCAAATTCCAAAGGCTTCACCGAGTGGAGCAAATAGTTTTATTCAGGACCAGAAGAACAAAATTATGTAGAATTACAGCCCTTAATGTGTACAACAATACTACACAAGTGCAGCTGCCTTTAACCCCTTAAGGACAGATGACACATGTCATCTGTCTTTAAGGGGTTAAAGGCAGCTGCACTTGTGTAGTATTGTTGTACACATTAAGGGCTGTAATTCTACATAATTTTATTCAGGACCAGAAGAACAAAATTATGTAGAATTACAGCCCTTAATGTGTACAACAATACTACACAAGTGCAGCTGCCTTTAACCCCTTAAGGACAGATGACACAAGGCAGCTGCACATGTCATCTGTCCTTAAGGGGTTAAAGGCAGCTGCACTTGTGTAGTATTGTTGTACACATTAAGGGCTGTAATTCTACATAATTTTGTTCTTCTGGTCCTGAATAAAACTATTTGCTCCACTCGGTGAAGCCTTTGGAATTTGATTCCATATGATTTATTAAAAGTGGCACTCACAACCAAACTTCTGGAATAAAAGGGAATCATGACATGTCGTCATGATTCCCTTTTATTCCAGAAGTTTGGTCCTTAAGGAGTTAAACACTACATACAAACATTACATAGAAGTACTACACTGCTTTCCAATGGCAACAGTACACCAAATACACCTACATGGGCACATTGTGGATGGTTTGTGTCAATGTGCATGTATGTGTAATTGTATGCACTGTTGCCATTGGAAAGCAGTGTAGTACGGTTATGTAATGTGAGTGTAGAAGTGTGTAGATATCTGGTCTTTAAATGGAGCTGCACTTAGTAATATTGGTGTATAAATGAAGGGGGTGGGGTGTGTGTTTGCATGTAATGGATGCACACGCTTCGTGCTATATACATATACACACACTGAAACTGTTACACAACATTTTTAGCCACCCTCTTGTTGACATTTTATATGCAGAAGGGTGGCTTTCCTGGAGTTCTGCTACTGAAAAGGCAGATAGTGGGGCTGGCTGGTCTATCCTAGCTCTCTCTCTCACACACACACGGACCTGGGTGCACTCTTAAAGGGCCTTGGCACCCAACTGGGCCCCTGTTCACCAATACCCATCACCTTATCGACACAGCCAGCGTGGGAATAAAAACTACTTCAAGTACATTAGTTTTAAGTTTTCACCTCAATTATTTTTTTAAGATATTCCCTAAAGTGAGATTTTAGTAATCAGGGTATACCTCTACACCAAAATGAGGAGTTAGTGCAGTGAAGCAAGCAAGCAAAAAAATATAAATTGTTTGAACATGGTATACTTACGAAATGTATCTCTCAAATTTCGTAAAGTTAGCAGAAAAGTGTAAAACTGAATAGTTATGGTAGTGACAGTTAATGGAGGGGGGTGAGAGAATAGAGGGGAAATAAATGAGGTGTGGCTAACAATAAGCTTTAAAATACATTTATACATTTAAAAACCAAACATTACACATTTACAGAGCAAAGTATTACAAGAAAATTCATAACTTTGAATGTGGATTCTGTAAACATTGAATTGATAAACTTTAACAGTTAAGCATTAGTGGATTAAATAGACCAGGTGATGGGTTACCTATTCACAGACTGGATTAGACCCTTCAAAATATTTAGTAAATAAGAGGCAGATTGTCTAGGAAGCAAGGCTATTTCTAGGTTTTTCCAGTAAGAAACCCTAATCTTGAGGCAATATCTAATATTTCATTGAACTTTTTTTTAATCCCAAAATTGTATATAAAAATCCTGAAAATGTAAACTGCATGCTGGGAGAATCCATTTTAGACACACATGTCCAATTTAAAGGAAGATTGCTCCCATAATTTTCTGCTAATGGATACAAATTAAAATATAAGAACCTTAGGTTATGCACCATGCAATATAATCTTTTATATATATTTAAGTTTGCATTACAGTCAGAGAATGTATGTTTTAGCTCTTAATGATACACTTTTATTGTAAAAAAAGAAAAAAAAAAAAAAAAAAGTTTCTTGCTGCAGATGTAGGTCCAAATCTTTGTGAGAATTCCAGAGTTTAGCAAAATTCAAGCAGAATGTAATTTGTAGAATCTGCTCCAAATTGAAAAATGTTCACAGAAACTTAATGTCCGTAACCAGTTTGTGCCATTTATAGTAATATTGCTGCAATACTGGCAGAAAAGTCTTGTGTGGCTGCTAAAACATACATAAAAAAATAAAAAGAAAAATACACAATCATAAAGCCAAGCACCAGTGCAGCAAACACTTGGGTATGGTCTCTGATTTTTTTTTTATTTTTTTTTTATGTATAGATCACAAATACCTTTGGAACATTGTCTTTGCTCTCAGTCTCCATATAGTCTATTAAAGTAATCTGGTCCTCTTTTTGGGAGGTTGGTGGAGTATGTAAGGGTGACTGCTGGATCTGCAATTGCTGCTTAAGGCTTTGAAGACCGATGTTGAAGTCCTTGAAAGCATGAAGCATAAAGACGCCTAGGATGATGATAACAAATCCACAAACTGCTCCAACACCATCCACCGGTGACATGGAAACCCATTCTTTGAAGAGGATAAGGGACGTTGTGATAACCACACTGGTAAATAGGACGTAGTAGATGGGAAAGACCATTGAAGTGTTAAATACATCCAGAGACTTGTTGAGATAGTTGACCTGAGTAACTACTGATACAACCAAGATCAGGATAAGGATCCAGGGAAGGGGATGTTGAACAACAGGCTGATCCATAAGAAGACCTTTAACAGCAATTCCTAATCCCTTGACAGAAGACACTGAGAAAGCCCCCAAGAGGGAACATATTGCCAGATAGACGAGGATGTTACTGTGACCACAGCGAGGGCAGATCACAAAGATTAAGATCAGGCAGCATATTAGCAGCAATGTTATGTAGGCTATAAAACCTGCAGAAAAAAAAAATATATATATATATATATATATATATATATATATAAAATAAAAACCACACAAAAAAGGAATACATAGATTTGCATATGCTTATAGCAAACTCATACTATAAAATCTAGGAACATTATAAATGTTAAAACTTCTGTTATATTGGATGTTTCATACAGTAATTTATGGGAAAATCAAGGAATGGGAAGTTAGAGGAGAGATTTCTGTGAGAAATGCAAGTCTTATGGTTTGAGAAGATCTGTTTTAACAATGTTTTGACTAGACTCTGAAGAGGGAGAGATTTATTTTGTTCTTCATTTAGGCAAACAATTGTGACTTCATACAAGACCTCTCTGGGTCACAGATATGAAAGCTGTATTTTTCTCAAGTGACATACTTTCTGCCTGGAAATCAAACATGGCAAGCTTTTAAAAGGATACTATAGTCCCTAAAACAACTTTAGCTTATATAAACATAAAGCTGTTTTGGTGTATAGATAATGTCCCCACACCTCAATTTTCTGCCAATTAAAAGTTTAATCACTTTGTTTATACAGCCCTAGTCACACCTCCCAGCATGTGACTTGCACATCCTTCCTAAATACTTCCTCTAGAGAGATATAATGTTGACACGTTATTGCACTCTTTCATTTAGAATTTCTTATCTCCTGCTCTGTTAATAAAGTTGATCTCACTCATGAGCTTCCTACATGTGATTTTAAAGTTCAATACACAGAGCAGACGATCTAAACTTTTAAAGTACGTTTACATTGGATTGAAAATTAAACCATATTTTCATGCATGCGGTCAGTCACAGTAGGCGGAGGTGTGGCTAGGCCTGCACAGAAACAAGTGATTTAACGTCTAAAATGGCAGAGAATTCAGCAGTGAGACTGAAGGGGCATGATATATACACACTGGCTCATTAAGCTAACGTTTTTGATGCTTATAGAGTTTCTGTAATTCTCTGCAAATTACATACCCCTCTTTTTTAATATGGGGTGGAGCGTAGGTATGTTAATCGTTAACCATTCATAAACACACCAAACCAGTGTTAACAATATTAGTTTAGGTTTGCAAGTGGTAAAAAAAAAAAAAAAAAAATAACGCTACAATTTACCTTCAGTTTCCATGTGTCACTTACCTGGATCTTTGAGTTTTGAAGTCATTTCTGCCAAAGTATTAACCTCCTGTTCCTCAGGGGAGTGGATTACCATTACAGTGCTTCCCAGTACACTGAGAATGCATCCCAACTTCCCTAGAAGATTCAGCCGTTCTCCCAGCAGGTAAGAAGACAGGACAGCACTGGATAGGAAAGGTTATAAAGAGATTTTAATATTTTGTGTCAGCATAATTATACAAATAGTTCCATGGAAAATAGGAAGGTGAAGAATACACACGTCATGTTGAGCTAAAAACTGACCTGGCACCAACAATATCCGTGCAGAGACATTCACAAAGCAAAACTCTACACAGTTAATGTTCATAACAAGTGTAAGCCAACTATTATGACAGGAGTGCTCTGGCACAGTTCCATGATAAGTAGTCAGGCATTTGTGCAACCCAGATTAATCTAGTTTAATTTAAAAAAAAAATCCGACATAATACAATTATTACCTGATTAGGACACTAAGGGCACCCAGAGGTGTAACAATTGTGGCTGGGGCAAAAGCATATGCTGCGAAATTGGCACCTTCACCTCCTGCCACTGTAAAGAGAAGAAAATGGATCCATTAAAGTAAATAAAAACAAAAAACTACACACGCAAGACATAAGTCTACGGAATAGAGCATTGTCCCAGAATTGGTCTTTATAAAAAGGTCCTGTTTTTAAACTCTTAAAATTGGTATAGCGTAAAATTCCATGAAGATGGTATTTGGCATAGAACCATAGGTTTTAATAGGTGTAATGGGTCTAAGAAGGGGTTCTTTAGCCCTTAATCACGTCAGTATTTTCATTATTTTTTTTTACTAGTCAAAATTTAATAAAATCAGCACAGCTTCTGCACTTTCTTGCTGGCCTCTCCACAAAAAATAAAAAGGCAGCTCTTATCTTCATTAGTGTGTATAAATCTACTCATTAGGTTATTCATGATGTCAAACTGATAACTTAAGCAGTGGTGTTTGTTTTGTCCTCACTTGTTAGAAGGCCAGCCCACCACATCCAGTCTTTGAGATAGCCATGACCCCCAGCACCTGGAACAAAGTAAAAGAAAACAAATTGTAGCTTGTCAAGGCCCATAACAATTCTCTTACGAGACCTGAAAGATTATATATGTATGCAAGCACAGTGGCAACACATTATACTCTGTTGGGTGATCGGTCTTGAGACTCAAAGGTTTCACTCACAAGTCAGAATTTAGGATTCCCTACATTTCAATCAAATATACATTTCCCTTGGACCAAATGAAGATTTACTTACAAATCTCCAAACAACAAGGCTTAACGCTTCTTACCTGCACGGATCCCTCCTTGTTGTGACAGACGTAGCAGTCCCTTTTTCTTAAGGATAACACTACTTCCAATAAGAAGGCAGGAAAGCACAGCCAGAGCCAGCCCAATAAGAAAGTCATAGTCTGTTGTTACAGCGGAGTCCAGGCTGGTGTCAACATCACTCAAGATCTTGCAGACCACCTGACGTGAAGGACATTTCAGAGTAACCAGGGTACCTAAAAAAAAAAAAAAAAAAAGACGTACCATCATCCAAATGAACATGGGCCGTTGGAAATCAGCACATGCCACACAGACCAATGAAAATAAAATAAATTTTAAAAAAAAAGTTTGAGATCCATCTGACTACAAAAGCCCCTAGCTAGAATGATATATAGAAGTATTAAATCGTACAGAAGTATAAAAATATTCCTCAGTTTACCTATGCACTGTGAAATACTGCATGAGCCAGCAACCACTGAAAAAAGGAGGACAGTTTCTGTTAACCAGGAACATGGTGAGGTTATGTCAGTGGTTTGTGAGGCACTGACTAGTACAAGATACAGTCATACCAAATATTCAAAGTGTAATGTATAAAATTATTGGGGGAAATTACAAACTGTAGAGCAATCAGTTCATTGAGTTTTATTGCTGTGGATCTCTGACATTTTGCATTGTACATCACTGCATCAAAGACTTTTCATGCAGTAAAATAAACAAAAATAAATAAATTTAAAAAAATTAAAAAAAAACTTAGATGACAGATTTTCTCTATTCACTTACTGCTGCAAAATGTTGGAGTGCAACATGTATCATGTTTAGCTTCTAGACAAGTGGTTCCCAGTTCTCAAGGCACCCCTACCAGTCCAGGATTTAGGGATTACCCAGTTGTGTCCAAGGTGTTTTTAAAAGGAGAAAAAACAAACAAAAAAAAAACACCTTGGACACAACTGGGTAATCCCTAAATCCTGGACTGGTAGGGGTGCCTTGTGGACTGATTTGGGAACCACTGTTCTAGACATTGAGCATATCAGCTGACCACTTTCAGCCTATTACATTATGGTATGAATCACTATAACTAGAAGTAAGTGTGCAACCTCTTGCTTAGCCATACCATGGGGTGGCTAAGGACCCTCCTTCAGTGTTTAACTACACAAAAATGGTTCCTTAACTTTTTTGTTGAATCGCCAGTATAAAATCTGTATAACAAATGTTTTATTGCATCCCACCAAGAGGATTCAAGTTATATTAACACATCTTCTCAAACTAAGAAGTCTGGCATTGATAGAGAGATATAGATAGAGAGAGAGAGTATATATATATATATACACACACACACACACACACACATATATATATACACACACACACACACACACACACACACACACACACACACACACACACACACACACACACATATATATACATATCTACTTTGGAAGGATGAAATGGACAGACTATTTCACTAAACTGAGTAGGGAATTGTACATTCAAATCAAAATTAGAATTTTTTTTAAATTACATTCAATTTGCTTTACTGTATACGGATAATTGCACAAATGTGATCCATCTTTTAAGTTACTGCTGTACATGTACATAGAAACAAATGCAAATTAACCCAGTTAACCAGAGCGTTTATACAAGATAAAACAAGTAAAAGGCAGCTGGTCAAAATGTAACAGGACATGTTTAACAGAGAGATAGTTCCATTTATGTATTGGGATAGCAATTGCAAGTTTATAGATTTGCAGATAAAGAAAATACTTACCTGACATCCAGATCCACACAGGACAACTTGTTGTTGTGGGAATGCCTAGTGCCCCACCTATGATTCTCTGATCTGTACAAGAATGTTTCCATTTTGAGACAGATTAGAAGATGCCAGATAAGGCTGAACTACAAAAACCAGGTGTCATTGTCAGGGAAGTATATTCCAAGACAGAGTGCCATTAAATAGGACTGTAACTGAAGGAGCACCCAGGTGTTACATGCTTTTGTGTCACAAATATACTGAAGATCATCTCCAAAACACTTAGAAGTGTGAGTGTGTGTGTGTGTGTGTGTGTGTGTATGTGTGTGAGTGATACATACACACAAAGTGTGGCGTATTTTTTTCAGCAGCACTGATTTAACTGGCATAAGAAGCACAACTGCATTTGAGCAACCAACAGAACTACTTTAAAAGTTTCCCAATTTAGTGGTAAAAATTAGACAAAATTAAGATAGCTAGCCTTTCGAAGGGGCATTAGGTACATTTTTAATACACAACTTTGTTTATTCTAGGATTACCTCAAAGTCATGGGGATTGGTTGATTTGTTGTGCAGTATAATATCCAAACCAAAAAAAGTTTGAGTGATATTGGGGCTATCAAAATAATATCTGAATATAGAAGAATTTACATCTCAAACACAGACAGACAAACCAAAACTAAAAAACACAGAAATAACACATTGTCAGGTTTATTTACCAAGCACTGAATTTTGTGTAAATATACCCAACTCAATGAAAATGATCAGATATCGTCTGGAGTTTAAATTCTGATAGCTTTAGGGGTTATTGTAAAACACATGAAAGAACATGCTTGTGCCATTTTTCATTCTAAACAGCCATACCACAGCTCCCATTGAGCAGCCTCACCATTTTGTAGATATGCCTCCACCAGTAACATGCTGGGTGCATGTATTCAGGGATTAAAATAATCCCACTAGTTATTTGGAAGTTCTATTGACCCCAATGATTTTAATTCTAAGCACCAACTAACTGCTACATTATTTAAGCATTGCGCTGCCAAAAGGTTAAAGACTTATTATATAAACTTGCAAGCTCTTAAAAATCACCAACATTACTACCACATTTTAATGTAGTCTGTTTTTTTGTGTATAGACCTTGTCCCTACAGTCCGACAATTCAAAACATTGCTATTCCTGAGAAACGACAATGCTTACATCAAATAACATGCCTTCATTCCCAGCAATACTATGCTAAACTCTGTTAACGTTTGGGATTCGCTGTTTTATGGGAAACGTCTGAATGGAGGAATGCAGGAGTTCCTGATTTATGAAAAGGCTTGGGATTGACAAAGAAAAAAAAAAAAAAAAGTAATCAGGATTGATGGTTTTGTAGGAGGCAAAGCAGCTACAGAAAGGATACTTTCAGGGAGTTCTAATAAAGATATGTTTTATGACAATATTCTAATTATTTTTAAAAAGCATGGGGCCCTGTGTTTTTAATTAAATGCTTTAATTTTTAAGGTCTTTGATTCCCTCCAGTGTTGTTAAACCTGAGCAGAGTATGGCTATTCGAGGACACACCAAATATCTCACTGTCCAAAACAGGTCTGTCAACCCATTGTTTGACAAACTGACAGTTACTCTCTTTCCATTATGCACCAACATATGAACTCAGACTGTTAAACCATAAGGCACAAAGGGGGAGGCTTGTCATGGTCTTGTTCTAAACATTTTGCAAAGTAACAAAAACAATACAGTTTAATTTTTCAGGCTGCAACATTTTGTTGAATATTACCACTTAGAATACACTTTGATTCTTTGATACATAATGAGCTAGCCTAAAATGACCTTCCCCAGCCCAGACTTTCTGTGACCGAGCAATTACAGACTTCCCAATGCAGCTCAATGAGAAGTCTTTACAAGACTGAGCAGCAGTTGCCCCTTAGGTTTAGATTGAATGAGCAAAACTACTAGGAATTAACAAGACTGGTTGTCTGACAGCTGGGGGTGGATGGTGTAACAAAGTTAATTTCTAAAAGTAATTTTCTAATGAAGTCTATACTTTATGTAAATTGGGGGGGGAGGGGGGGAAGTTGGAGGGCAAACTTAACACAAAGCTAATGTGCTTTGGGGGTCTTGAATGTCCCTTTAACCCCTTAATGACAACTTCTGGAATAAAAGGGAATCATGACGAAATATTTCCATCATGTGTCCTTAAGGGGTTAAGCTTGAGATCTAAATGGAGAGGGGGTGGGCAGAGAGGACAATCTGGCTTTGCATTATTGTCTGCCTAGGCATGTGAAAATAAATAAAATTAAAAAAGCAAAGAGTCACTCACAGAAACCTATTAAATATAAACTCAATGGTTGATGAAGTGGCCATTCCACACTTTCATAAACATATGTAGAATATAGACAGCGTAAAGCCATGCAGGAAAAGAAAAATCCCACAATAAGCAAAAAACCACCAGAGCTTTAATTCGCAAGAGCTACAATATAAATAATCTTTAGAAAGTCCACAAAATGCTTCAGTGATGGAATTTCAGGCCGTGTTTACATTACAGTCTAGTAACACCTGTACTGATAATCACTTAGACCACCACTTCAGTTATTTCCTGGGTTGGTGCTGCATCTCCATGAGATACAGCATGGAGATACTAAACGCTCCCCAACGAGATGTATTGATTCAGTGCATATCTATGAGGACATGTTTTGGCACAGCATGGCAATTTACCATGCATGCACAATAGTCTCCCAATGCGAAAGCATTGGATTGGCTGAGATCATCAAGCTTAGGTCAGCTACTGCAATACCTGCACAGCGATGGAGAAGAAAAAAGTAAAATATTTTTAAAAGGTACAGAGAGGGGGTCAGGCCTAAACTTATTTTAAAGCTATAATTTAACACAAGTTTGTATTCCTAACACTAGTGTGTTCCTTTAAGGAGGATTTCTCCTGAAATGCTTGTACTGGTTCAAATCTTTTACATTATGCAATTAATAAACTGTTTATTTTTATGGTAAGCTGAATCAAGTAGAATTCCAGCACTGAAGATTTTTTTTTAATCAAGACATTTAGTACATTCTAGGTCTGGTGGGTTTCAGCTTATTGTGGGAGTTTGTCTTGAAAAGCGGTCCATAGTCTACATTTGTAGACTAAATCAACTGAATCAGGGTAGAATAGGTCACAAGAGACCTAGCAGGTAATGAGCCAATCCAGGTTATTGTATTGAAAAATACAGCTTGTTGTCCTACATCACTGAACTAATAAATGTACCAATGGAAGAGTGAATTTTAAATTTCAGGCAAAAATACCCAAAACTGAACATAGACTTAAAAACACTTTTCAGTGTAAAATTCCAACTGCACATTGAATTCCCAACAGCTCAAAACTAGTCAATTACCCAGTTTTATACACAAGGTAGAAAAGGTCTTCAATATTGGCCAACTGAGAACTACTAAATATAACAAAGCAAATATTTTACAATAGCAGGGATATTTAACATTTGGCTAAATGGAGTTAGAAGGCTAAAAACCTAAAAAAAATAGACACTCTATGTTGATACTCTGCAGGATAATAAGTTTAGAAGCTTTGAGTGCACATTCCAAATTAAGAGAATACAGTGCTGTGGCAGGTGGAGGGCAACACAGACATTACTAAACAGTCTCACATGTGTACTTATTCACAGCTAAATTCTAACAGTTCCCCATTGCATGGTTCAGATTGTATTGCCCACTTACCGTTTGTGCAGCTCTGAACGAAAGAGATCGCCATGTGATGCAGACAGAATGCGAGATACTAACTCAAACAAAACATAACAAACAATTCAACGCATCCAGAAATGTGACTACAAATTCAGCCCCTTCACCTGGTCAAAAAATGTGCTTGGCCCCTCCCTTCATTTAAGTAGTTTGTACACACCTTCTAAACTGAACAGTTTCACTCCTCCCCTCAGTTTCACTGCTAATCTGTCCTTTATTTTTATTGTAAATGATTGTCCAGTACCTGTTCAATGGATGTCACATGACCTGAGACCGGAACCCTCACACCATTAATGGTACCATTACTAAGTACAGGGATGAGAGTGTGTGTTTAGTAACATGGAGTAAATTGTACTGTGTACAAAATTAAAGGCATAACCAGTTGGTTTGTTTTTTACTTTGCTTTTTAAAATTAATTATTAGATGGGAAAAAAGAATCTGCTTTGTGTTTTTCAAGTTGCTTGCTGCTAATAAGTAGGGTAGTTAATAAATTCAATGAAGGGCAGAAAAATGAAAGTTTAAAAATGGAAGCCCCTCCAAGAACTTTTGCCCACCACATTCTATATTTCTGATTTGGCAAATTCCTACTGCATTAAACAACTTGACATCCCCACTATCTGTCTGTACTTAACGCACCATGATCACTTCCCTGTTTTAATATATATGGGATATAGGTAATTAACCCCTTAAGGACACATGACATGTGTGACATGTCATGATTCCCTTTTATTCCAGAAGTTTGGTCCTGAAGTGGGATTCAAAGTAAATTTCAAATGTAAGGCCAGAGTTGCTGAACTGAAAGCAGAGCTGGCTTAGATCATTTTTCCAGTTCAGCTACTTTTACCTTGATTTTGAAATTCACTTTAGATTCTAATTTTAGTGAAATACTCTGTATGCATTTTCAATAAATATCACAGATTTAAACAGAAGGTTGAGAATTAATTGCTAGCAAGGGAATTCTTAAATCCTTCATTGGTGCATGACTAAAAGTGATGCAGGTTTTTTGTTTTCCACTTTGCAAGTGATTGATTACTGCAGAAACTTTACTTTGATTAATTCCATGTTATTGTTTTAGTTTACAAACTATCATAATATCTGCTTTCTTGTCCAGAGTGTCTGAAATGTGCTGGAATGAGTTTTATTCAATTACATACACAGTCTGGTTTAGAAGAATTCTGGTCAAATGACCGGATTTTAACCAGATTTCCAGGATATTGGTAAATACAGGTGTAGGTTTTGTGATTTCATTTTATTTTCCATACCTCAAACCCAGGCAGTAGACAATTTCTGCTTATTAAGTTTATTGGGACTGAATTCTGTCTCAAGTTTGTTATTTCTAGGGTCTCATCCTTGATTGCAGCCCATATTAATTACAAAAATGCTAGCCAGTGACAGTTTTCTTTTACAATCAGTAATTCTAACATGAAAATCCTGCATGTGGAGAGTCTGAGATTTGACTACATTAATATTAATTCAGAGTCAGTATTGCAAAATTATGAACACTTAAAATCTGTGATAAGTGACTCTATGCTTTTTTTTTTTTTGCAAGATGCTGGACATCCTCATGCCCTTTCACTGAGTTAAACTCTGTGAAACTGCAGGAAGCTCTTCTAGTGGCTATCTATCAGACTCTCTTAACCCCTTAAGGACCAAACATCTGGAATAAAAGGGAATCATGACATGTCACACATGTCATGTGTCCTTAAGGGGTTAAACATTGCAGTTTCTCCAAAACTGGAGGCGCTGAATATTCTCCATAGAGATGCATTGATTCAGTGCAGCTCTATGAGGAGATGCTGATTGGTGCAGCAATGTGCTTTGCTGCGCAGGCGCATTAGCCTCCTGAAGCTTTCCTATGGGAAAGCATTGGATTAACTGAGATTGTCAATTCTGATAATCTCAGCCAAGGGGACGTAGTGTGGGGCAGAGCCAGTGCCGGCCAACCCGCCCAACACAGGATTAAATGTAAGTTTTAACCCTTTTTAAAGAAGTAAAGGGGGGGGGGGGACTGGAAACCTAACATGTGTTTTTAACACGATAGGGTCAGGATTACACATTTGTATTCCTGACTCTATAGTGTTCCTTTAACTCCTCAAATATAAAATAAATAAAAATCACTGTTTTTTAGGTACACCCCAAATGAAAACTTGCATGCATTTAATCATGCATTTTCTTCATTGGATTTATATCTAAAACAGCTTTCAAAAACTGCAGATCTCTTGTCTGCAGCCTTTGCAAGCCCTCCTCTTCTAATAGTGCCCAGACTTTATGTGACTGCTCAATCAATGCAGCTCAATGATAGGCAGGTGCTCTAAGCAATTGCTGCATCTTGAGTTCAGTGCAAGTAAGCTAACCAGACCAGGAGGAAATAACAGGACCTGTTATCTACTTGAAAAGCCAGGGGGTAAACCAGTAAAATGTGTGTCAATTTCTATTGAAATCTGTACTATATCTAAATGGAAAAAATTGGACACACTCTTCACACATAAAGCTTTTCACCAAGATAAAGTGCTATACGGGTCTGGTGTGTCCCTTTAAGAAAATAAGACTTGATAAAGGCTCAGAGAAGAGCCGAAACATTGTCTCCACTTCCTTGTTTCAAATAAAAAGACTGACTTTTAGAAGAAACCTCAGGTTTGCCTGGATATTTATTTTTTTCCCTTAAGTAAATAGGCCGTGTCACTCCTTGTAATTTTTGTGATTTGTTGTAATTTAGTATAGTTAGCATAATGGAATTTGATGAGATAAAACACTGGAAAAAATCTTTCGTAACCCAAGAAAACAGAGATTACTCATTAAAGGACCACTATAGGCATCCAGACCACTTCAGCTCAATGAAGTGGTCTGGGTGCCAGGTCCATCTAGGATTAACTCTTTCTGCTGTAAACATAGCAGTTTCAGAGAAACTGCTATGTTTACCTATGGGTTAATCTAGCCTCTAGTGGCTGTCTCATTGACAGCCGCTAGAGGCACTTCCGCGCTTCTCACTGTGATTTTCACAGTGAGAAGACGCCAGCGTCCATAGGAAAGGATTGAGAATGCTTTCCTATGAGACTGACTGAATGCCGCACGGCTCTTGCCGCGCATGCGCATTCAGCCGATGATGGGAAAGGAGGAGCCCGGCGCTGGAAAAAAGGTAAGTGATTAACCCCTTCCTCCCCCTAGAGCCTGGTGGGAGGGGAGCTCAGAGGGTGAGGGGGACCCACGGACCCTATTGAGCCAGGAAAACAAGTATGTTTTCCTGGCACTATAGTGGTCCTTTAAAACAGTGACTGTTTAGAGTCATTTGTATTAGTATTATTGTGGTTATATAATGATGACAAGTGACCTCCCATTAGCAGAGCTTCTTCTCTGACAGCACTATGGGGCAAGTAGCATTCTATTATTCTTCTCAGTCAGGGCTAGTTAGACAAGAATTTTCAGTTTGACTTGCTGCACTGTAGTATGCAGTATGTTCAGGTGTAACCGTTCGTACTCCAATTTACCGCTATAACGTCTTAAAACTTAGAATTTAGCAGGGCTAACCATACAGATATCTTAGCTAAAATATTGTATAGTCGGTATAGAGTTTCTCTATTTAAAATACATAAATAATTGAGAATACAATAAAAATAGGAGTTGGAAGCAATAACTTTTGTCTTATTAATATAGTTTATTGAATAAATGAATAAAGATCCATTAATATATCATAAAGCAGAGTATATAAGATTAAATGAATAAATGATTGCAATATAATTAGTATAACATACCCTCCTGATTATACAGGTAATCTCTCAGTATGTCACCTCCAGAGTCGGTCAGTAAGTCTCTACCTAGCATTGATCATGCATGTATATATAGTATAGCATTTCTAATTACTACTGGTAATGTATGGGTTAATTCATCTTAGGGTTAAAAGCAGTTCATATATAAAAATAAAGGAAAAACACCCTTATCAGTCTAATAACCTAGACATCTTTAATCTGTATTTGGACTAGAAGTTAGGTTGACATACACCTTAGGGTTAAGAGAAGGTCATATATAAAAAAATACGTTTAATGTCATAACCTAGACATCTTTAATCTTTATTTGGACTAGAGGATGACATAGGCAAAGCCTTGAATTGTTATTGCATTAAATTAAGACAAGATGGAGTAAACATGTTGTGTACTGTAAATATGTAGAAGGTTATTAGTTAAAGAAACAGTTGCAGTTTAAAGAAATACAATGTAGCAATGTGTATTATACCTACAATTGCCCATCACACAGGTACATGGGAAATCAAACAATCTCCAGATAACAGGCCTCCCTGCCAATGAGTTCTTTTAATCCATGGTCAGCATTCAATGTCTGGCCATTTCAAAGAAACATGCTCAAAGCTAATTCAGATTGAATATGGATTTGCACACTGTCTGTCTATCTGTCTGTCTGTCTAAGTGCCAGTGGTGCCCCTGCTATGAAAAACTATTTTTTATTGGCTTAAATTTAAAATTAAAAGTGTAGACACTGATATTTAAGTTAATATCAGATTCGAGAGCAAGCATGATTAAAGGTAGTAAATAATATTTTAAAAAGAAATATGAGATAATGTAAATATTGTGTATGTAAGATCTGAAATATTAAAGTCACAAAAAGAAAATATAATACACACTTAACAGTTACCCTCAGAGGAAACAGACACACACATTATGACACACAGAGGAAACTGACACATAAACATACAGCTTTGGTGGAATAGTTCTAGTTTACCTAAATCATTTGTCATTTGGTGTATCCCTCCTGGAAAATCAACCCTGTTACATATCTTAGTATAATTCAGTTTCCATTCATACTTTAGTGAATAATTGTTTGGATTCACTTTGCATTCCTTTTAATTCACACTTTAGTGAAAACCCCTGGTTTGTGTTGTTAAAATGTTGCAGTATTAAATAAATGCTATTTATAAAATTTTATAAATAATGCATAAGATATAAATCTTTGCAATGTTACAATATTATAGAATTTATGTCTGAATATTATGCTGTTGTGTTGTTA